TCTCTTTCTGCACCTCTGTAACTCTCAAAACTCATACATATGATGTCCCTTAATTGCTGAATTTTTTGTGTTTTAATTCCATTCAGTTCCTCTTCCAGCACTTGAACTATTTTAGAGTTATTGCAGGAAGTGTTTTCTGTTTCTGAGATTCTTTCTTCTGCTTTCCTCATTCTATTATGAAGGTTTTTCACTGAATTTTTAATTTGCCCTGGCCACTCCACTGCCTGCTCAGACTTTCTTCTGTTCCTGGTTCCAGAAGCACCCTGGATTATGGAGACTCCAGCTGTCCTAGATCACTAGTTGTCAGTGGTGCCTGTCGTACAGATTTTTTTTCTTTCCTCTTTTTGCCGAGACCTGCTGGTAATCAGGTATGGGGACAATCTGGAACCCATCTTTGTTTTTTTTTTTTTAATATTTTTTAAAGATGTATTTATTTATTGGAAAGTCAGATATACAGAGAGGAGGAGAGACAGAGAGGAAGATCTTCTGTCTGCTGATTCACTCCCCAAGTGACCGCAATGGCTGGTGCTGTGCCAATCAGAAGCCAGAATCCAGGAACTTCTTCCAGGTATCCCACACGGGTGCAGGGTCCCAAGGTTGGGCTGTCCTCGACTGCTTTCCCAGGCCACAAGCAGGGAGCTGGATGGGAAGTAGAACTGCCTGGATTAGAACCGGTGCTCATATGGGATCCCGGTGGATTTAAGGTGAGGACTTTAGCTGCTAGGCCACGCTGCCGGGCCCCAGAACCCATCTTTGATGGAAGCCTTGGGATGTCAAGTCAGTATTGTCTTCCTGGTGGGACTGAATCAAAATGTTGAGCTGGAAGTGAGTTCTATCCTGGTTAAGCACATGTATAGCTCACAGTTGTCCCTCTAGCCCCAGAACCTTTTCCTCAATTCACAAAATGTGGAATTGAGGAAGGTCTGGTTTGTGTGTGAAATCCACAGTATTTTTGCATCCAGCTGCCTAGGCTCGGCCATTTTGCTTCTGCTAATGGTCAAATCAAATAAACAGCAGGACAGGCAGTTAGTTCTATGACTGGGTTTACCTTCTGAGTGCCAGTCAACTCCCATTCCTACCTTGAGACAGGTGGAGCTCTGATCACTGCTGGAGTATATGATTACTTTAGCATTACTGTTCTGTCTCTGCTCTTTCTCCGTGTCCAGTTTTCCGGGAATCCCTCTGCTATCGGCCTTCTTCTTCTGTTTTCAGGGATTGTGCCCTCCGTTTCACCTCAGCTAACCCTTCTACATCTGTTCAAACAGGTCCCCACCCTATTTTGTATCTTGAACATCCCAATCACAGTCATTCATTTAGAAGTACCATGGATTACATGAGTTGTAACCAGAAATTGTTAACGAAAACAAAGCATACTCTCATGACCATTGTGTCTACAGAATTTCTAGGACATACAGTACTGTATGGGTTTATTTGCTTCTAGAATAGGCAAGGGAGGGGCTGCACATTGTACTTTTTAATGGTGGTTTACTTGCATTTTTTCACCTTGAGTGTGCATGATACTGTTGACAGTGATAAACTGGATCTATAAAAAGGATTCATATAAGTTTTGTTCAGGTAAGAGTATAAGTAACCTAGGCTCAAGAGATGTACAGTAACTTTGAATGAGTCTTGGCAAGTGCCAAAGTGATCAAATTCTAGCCAGTATTTGTGTCTCCATGATACTAAGTTTTCATTTGTTATCACACAATGACTGTTTATCACCTTGGTGTCAAAAAGAAGGCTTAGGTAAGTTGGGGTGAGTTCTTCACAGATTGGAGCTGTAGAACATGATTGGCTATACTCCTCAGAGGCAGAACTGCTCCTGAAAAGAGGCTACTGATTTTAAGAATGAATGAAAAAGGAACATTTAGATTAGGGGCAAAGGATTGTCCAGTGTTGCTTTAGATGGCTAAGAGGAAGCAGACCCTATGTGGACAACACCGGACTAAAAATGACAGGTGGAGAAGATCAATAGTTCTGTGCTGGTATTCCTCATGGACTCAGGGGGTGCTTCTCTTTAATACTTTGCAGGATTTTTAAAGGTAGCTTGTTTTTCACTACTCTTCAGTTTAACTAGAACATTGAATAACTTTCCAAAGCATCTTTTGCCCAAGAAATGGAAACACTATCACCCTCAGAATTTTAAGAAATTTATTGGTAAGACATCAGGTTTCATTTCTGGGAGCCTGCCACACTTTTCTTATAGTCTGTACTCAAAAAACGTGTGGCTTGAGCATGAATAATGTCAAACAATTAGTAATGGAAATGAGACTGGTGATTAAGGTCCTTTCACCATGTCTCAACAATTGTGCTGGAGAACAGTATCTTCCCAACTTCCTCCTTCAGATACCTCAGCCCTCCATCTAGGAAGGAACTGTTCCAAGAAGAAGCAGCAGGAGAAAAACCTGTATTTCTTTTAACCCAACAAATATGAAATTTTTAAAAAAATTATCAAGTGCATTTATCTAAGTGTGTGTGTGTGTGAGAGAGAGAGAGAGACAGAGAGAGAGAGAGAGAGAGAGAGAGAGAGAAAGATCTTTCATGAAGGTTCACTCTCCAGATGCTTACCAGGTGTGGGGCTAGACCAAATGCAGCTTGGATCCAGAAACTCAGTTTGGGTCTCCTACCTAGCTGGCAGGAATGCAACTACTTAAGCAGCTACCTGCTTCCTCCCAAGACACATGTTAGCAGGAAGCTGTAATAGAGAATGAAATCAGGGCTTAAACTCAGTTACGCTGATATGACATGCAAATGTCCCAAACAGCATTTACTGGCTGCACCAAATGTTATCTGTCTTTCCCCAACAATATTTATTGAATGTCTACTGTGCTAGATATTCTTCTTGGTACCCAGGGATAGGTCACAGAACACTTCCTGGAACATGCAGTTTAACTTTTATTACTAAACTGGTGTCTGCCAGTGACATCTGTGTGCTGATACATGCAGTTCCTGTGGTGAGGGAGGAATCTGTATCTTTGGCTCTAAGCAGCGACAAGGATCTGTGTGTGTGACTATCTGTCTTCCATTCAGCACACAAGGACAGGCAGAATGAACTGCTTTTAAGGATGTTTTGGCTCAACGACACTCAGTAACTTAGGGACAAATATTTTAGCTTGTTTCAATCACTTCATCCACACCCTGGCTGTTAACTCAGAACATGTTGTGACTCCTGTGAGTTTGTCCTCAGCTGCTCAAAGAGAAATAAAGAGACCTGTAGGTAGCATGCTTGACAGTACCCCAAACAGAACACCCATTCCAAACTCATCTGACTAACAGTAGGGTTGGAATTTTAATGATAAGCAACTGGGAAGTGGCAGAGAGCTTGGGCCTAATTGATGTGCCATGACACTGTGCAGTCAGGTCTGGCCTGGCCACAAAAGCTGCTGCTTCTGCCTTTTGGCCTTGTTTGTAGCTGTTTGGGACTATCTCCTTGACTTTCTTGCCTCTCATGGTTGTCCTGACAAATGCTTTAGGAGACTCTTCATTGTGTGACTCAGCCGAGATATCTTCAAAACTTTTTACATGTGATCAGTTGCTTTTGAACTTGACAAGACCATGTTCCCAGGCAGCTCTGGAGAGATCAAATAAGCCTGAAGAAACCCAGGTTTCCCAGTGGGTCTGTATAGTCACTTATGTGGCTTCACACAGTAAACAAGGAACCCCGGTGTGCTGATGGCCATAGTGACATCCACCCTGAGGCCACAGAGGGTCAAGGAGCATGTGTGTCAGGTGGGCAGCACTGATGCAAGCAAGCACCTGGGGATTGTTTTGTGGACCTTGCACAGGGGTCATCACTTCTCGAAGGATTGGCCACTTACCCGGGAACTGCCTTTAATCAGCATTTGCTGTGAGGAGGCAGTACTGCTGCCAGGAGTTGTACACCTTGTTACAGGCACTCCCTATATAGAAATCTTTTGTAATAATTTGAAGTATCAAAATGCTGCAAAGTCTCAATTTACTGAATTTACAACTCACACATGCAAAGGATGGTATCTCCTTTGTATTGCTAAACTGGTTCAGTCTTCCTGATTCATGGTTAATGTAGAAATGTCAAGTTTTCCATTCCTATCTTGTTAAAACAAATCAGCTCTAATAATGTAAACAGTGTGTGAAAGAAAGATTTCTACTTGAACTCCATTTGATTTCATTAAAAAAAAAGGGGGGTGGAGAGATTTCCTCTGCGTTCTATAACATAATCAACCCTCTATAATTGTGTCCAGCCAATCATGGATCAGAATTGGGTTTGTTTTAAATTGCAGTCCTTTGAACACATACGGATTTTTATTCTTGTCATCATTCCCTAAACAATACAGTATAAGAGCTATTCATGCAGCATTTATTACGGTATTACAGGTTATCAAAAGGTGATTTAGAGTGCGTGCATCGGTTACATGAACATCCTCTACTATTAACTGAGCTTAAAATAAAGACTTTTTAGACTTGTTTGTTGATATCTTGTGAAGTAATATCAGAAAAGCCTGCCTCAAAGCAAATACATAGATTTCCAAGTTAGAATTATTAAGTAGAATACGAATCTGTCTTGTGGTAACAGTGCTATCCCACAAACAATTACATTTTGTCTCTGGAGCATATGGTAGAACTGTTTGGCTCTGCTTCTTGGAAGCTAGGTATGGCGAGGGGCTTGCTTTGGACAGTGACATTTTAATCTGCCAACCTCTCTGCTGTGGCAAATAGGCATGTTGCCGGATAACAGCTGCTTTATCAGTGGGTGTCTCAGAGTACACACAGCATGGAGTGGAGCTCCCAGCTCATCTTGATCCTCAAATAAGCCTGTGCCATGTTAAGTCACTATTAACTTAAGCACTCTGATCCTCCTAACACAGAAGCTGAGATGTAGTTACTTCCTGAGGTACATAGATTCGTTAGCCCATTTAAGCAAGCATGGAATCTGATGGACAAAACAGCAAAGCATCTACTGTCTTCCAAATTCATATTCCAGTTATAGGCTTTTCTAACAATGTTTCCCTTCTGCCTTTCAGATGAAGATCTTTGACAAAAATAAAGATGGTCGGTTGGATCTTAATGACTTGGCAAGGTACGTAGCCTGGAAACAATGTTCTAGATTCAGAAATATTTCTCTATAGTCTAGTGACTTCAAATACTCCTTTGGAAATTGGAGACCACATTTTCCCTGGAATCCTAAAGAATAGATGCATTTTACCAAGTAAACTGCCAAGGTGTTTAGTCTCTTAGAGTAAAAGATTCATTTATGAGGATAATGAAAACTCTTTACCACAAAATGCACAATGCAAATTTTTAAAAATTTATTTATTTTTATGGGCAAGGCAGATTTTACAGAGAGAAGAAGAAACAGAGAGAAAGCTCTTGTCTGTTTGTTCACTCCCCAGATGGCCGCAATGGCTGGAGTTGAGTGAATCTGAAGCCAGGATCCAGCAACCAGGAGCTTCTTCTGGGTCTGCCACATTCGTGGAGGGTCCCAAAGCTTTGGGCCAGCCTCTACTGTTTTCCCAGGCCACAAGTAGGAAAATGGATGGGGAGTAAAGTAGCCGGGATATGAATTGATGCCCAAATTGGATCCTGGAACTTGCAAGGCAAGGATTAAGCTGCTAGGCCATCACGCCAGACCTACAATGCAATTTTTTAAAAGTTGGGACATATCATAAATCAACCCTGCCCTCAAAAACCTGATAGTCATGTAGCCATGGCCCCAAATTTGGAAGCTACTGAAAAAAAAAATCCCAAGTCCCATCCCCACTCTTTGAGAATGTTAAACAATTAGTTCAAGACATGGGAAAAGAAAGCCAACCACATGGTTCTCTGATCTTTGAGAGTAGGTATATCAACAGTAAGACCCCAAGCATATGAACACTTGATGTAAAAAAGGAAAAGATTAGCACAGAAGTGGCCCAGTGCCAGTAGAAATGCTGTGAGTCTGATTTTAGGACATATGGTTGCTGTGTCAATACGCCTTGTCAAAGCTAGTTGACTTGAAATGACATGAAATTATCCACCCAGAGGAAAAAGAGGTTATAGTTGGTGATTAGGTTAAAACCATTGGATCTAGAATACACTGCTATAACCATAAACCTTCTAGAGGAGCAACTATAAACCCAGGTACTTTTGGATTGGGATGCATCAAAACTGAGTAGTGATGAGGGCAAAACTGGGTAGTGATGAGGGCAGCAGTGACAAGTAAAAAGCAACAGCATAGCTGGAGCAAGAACTCCATGGAGGGAGGCCAAGCTTTCAATGTCAAGGAGCTAATGTGACAAATCACAATGAGATGGCAGCTTTGTTTCTCAGAGTATATTCGTCTAAGTCCAGAATCACAAATTTCTACCCCAGAAGTCTCACTTGTAAGCTGACTCTGTAAGGTTTTTTTTTTTAATTTTTAAAGATTTATTTATTTTTATGGGAAAGGCAGATTTACAGAGAGAAGGAGAGACAAAACATCTTCCATCTGTTGATTCAGTACCAAAGTGGCCACAATGACCAGAGCTGAGCCAATCCAAAACCAGGAGAAGTGGAAGAGTTAGGAGCTTCTTCCACTGGTGCAGAGTCCCAAGACTTGGGCCCTTTTCTATTGCTCTCCTAGGCCACAGGCAGGAAGCTGTATGGGAAGTGGAGCAGCTGGAATATGAACTGGCACCCATATGGGATCCTGGTGCATGCAAGGCGAAGATTAGTCACTAAGCTATGCTTCTGGGCTCTCTTCAAGGTTTTGAAGGATATCTGTGAATGGGATGCATCAGGAAGCATCTCTCCTCACCGATGACCATGAAGTCAATCTAACATACTGTATAATTTTCTTGTTGAGCCCTTGGAGCTATGAGTCTGTTTTTCCTCAGCTGTTTTCCCCAGGATCTTTATCTAACCTATTGTAATATTTATATACACACACGATACCGACAAAGACTTACATGCAGCAACACATATACCATTTTTGACAACCTTGCAATAAATATAAGATATTCAGAAAATTGACAGCTTGGAACTTAATGATCAATGTTGGCCACTTTGATGAGGAAGAGATCAGCCAAAGAGGGAGAAAATGTTTTTCCCAAAGGCGTAAGACAGAAACTATTTCAATCTTATAGTCTCACCTTAGCTGCCTGGATTCACTCACTATCTCTCTCTTAGATTCTTTTTATTCCTTTTACTTAAAGTCAGAGTTACACACACACACACACACACACACACACACACACACACACACACACGCACACACACACACACGCACACACACACATCCTCCATCTATTGAATTACTCCCCTACTTGTCTCAGTGTCAGGAGCTGGGTCAGTTCAATGCTGGGAGGCAGGAGCTTCTTCTAGATCTCCTGAATGGGTACAGGAGCCCAAAGACTTGGGACATCCTTCCTTGATAGTTTGTAAGCTTGGGATTATTGGATTGGAAGTGGAGCAGTTGGAACTTCAACCAAAACCATATGGGATACCAGTGCTATGGGCAGAGAATTTGCCTGAAAAGTCACCATGCTGGCCCCCACCTGGTTCTCTTGATCATCTCAAATGAAGGTCAGAGATCTGTGTGAGAGAGGAAATCTAGCAAGGAAACATAAAATGTCTGAAAGACTCATTCAAAAGATAAAGTTTGATTAAAAGCAAGACTTTTAATTTCATTGCTCTCTGCACTAAAACCACCCATCAACCTGGTACCTTGATTCAGCTATGCACTTCTCAGGGCTAGTGAGAGTTGAAAGGCCTACAGTGCCCTTGCCCTTGAAGGCTGGAATGTGTCACTATCAGAAGATGTGCCAGCATAGCTGCCTTCCACTGTGTTGTTCTAAGACTCATTAATTACTAAAATCATCTTTACACACAAAAGCCCCATCTGCACACATAATGCTATGGTAGTTCATAAACTGTATGGGTCATAACATAGAAAGAATAAAGGGCAATCAGTTTATAATACAAGTGTTAGTGAAAGGCTTGTTATTTGTTGTATACTGATGCCAATACAATTACACCAGCTTTTTAAAAAAATTTATTTATTTTATTACAAAGTCAGATATGCAGAGAAGAGAGACAGATAGGAAGATCTTCTGTCTGATGATTCACTCCCCAAGTGACTGCAACATCCAGTGGTGTGCCGATCTGAAGCCGGGAACCAGGAACCTCTTCCAGGTCTCCCACGTGGGTTCGGGGTCCCAAAGCTCTGGGCCATCCTCGACTGCTTACCCAGACCACAAACAGGGAGCTGGATGGGAAGTGGAGCTGCCAGGACTAGAAGCAGAGCCCATATGGGATCCCGGTGAGTTCAAGGCAAGGACTTTAGCTGCTAGGCCACGCTGCCGGGCCAGACACCAGCTTTTGAGAAAAGGCTTATTACAATATTGCCTGGCAAGGAAATAGGAGGCAAGATTCATATCTGTCTAGCTGAGAGCTAGGGTCTGGGGCAGCATTTGAGGAATAGAGAGAAGAGGCTGATATGTGAATGTGTTGGAGAAGCAAATTCTGGCTAATTATGTTTAGATTTAGCAGTGGATATTTCTGGTCAATGGAACTCTCACTTCCAAAGGAGCTCTGGCGTTTGAGTTGTGGTCTTTTCCTGGTTTCTGTGATTACCTGGGAAGGGAACATTAGTTCTCTGTGTATTTTGAGGTTAAAGCTTGGCTTTTTTTGCATGTCTACTGCAGTTTGGGCTCTGCTGTGTCTGTTGGCAAGAGAGCAATCATCTGTATTATAATCTCTGCCAATAATTAAATGTGATTTCTCCAAGCCTCTCCAACTCACAGTGATAAGCAGCTTAACCTGTGGGATTGTTCCAACTCAGTTGGAATCAAACAGGAATAGTATGTCTCCAAGTTGCAGTTTTCCAGATATTAAGCTAAATCTTGCCTGGTAATCCTCCAGCCACCTGGGGTGCACTCCAACTTTCATTTCTAGTCTGGTAGCCCAGTGCTGTCTTGTTCCACGCACTCTTAGTTGTATACAGTTCAGAACAAGCAGATCTTAATTTGCTAGGAGAGCCCACTCTGCCTGCTGTTAACAGAGGAGCATCAGTTTGAGCTAATTCTGCAGTTTAAATAATTTTTATGTGCATGCATACAACCACAGTGAAAGCATAATGAAGTGATCAGTTGCTCACAGCTGGTGAGGAATTATCATGAATATGGAAGCTCAAATGCTGACTTATCCGAGGCTGGTCTTTTGACAACTTTGTTCTTGTTTTTGGTATGATTTTATAAAGTAGAATTGGTAGAATTCTGAATGAAAGTGAAGTATATTCATCTGTCAATGCAATTCAGTACATCATATGGAAAGTTTACATAATTAGTAGATTACGAATGCTTAACAAAAACATTGTTAGTTGTGTAAATAAGCAGAACATGTGGCAACTATTCATGCTGTGGAAATTTTTGTGTGATGCAGAACAGCTCTCATCCCTGGCCTGCCTTACAAATTGCTGGTTGTGCCTGATCTCTTACCATGACCACCAAAATGTACCAGGCATGCGTCCCAATGTTCTATAGAGACAACACTGCTTAGATTCCAGGATAAGGACTGCACATTAATCTGTTGAGTAATTTCCCATACAGTGGAGTGTTTTGTACAAGAGGGCTCGATGAGCAGTTGTGGACTAATGCAGTGGAATTCCACTAAAAAGTGGAATTAAATAAATGCAAGGCAATGAAACAATGCATAATGCCAAAACCAGTTTCATCATGACAACTGTGTTAGGTAGAATAAAGATGCTTGTGGAATAAATGCCTGGAATCAGTGAATATTTTATACTACATGACTATGATGAATTAAAATTGCAGATAAAATTTAGGTCACTAATCAACAGACCTTAAGATTTTATTTTGCATTATTCAGTGGGCCTAATGTAGTAACAAGGGCTATTTAAGTGTAGAAAAGTGTCGGAGTCAGAGAGATCTGAAAACAGTATGTTAGCCTTGAACATGGAATTGGGAGTCATGATCCCAAAGTGTGGTAGCCTGTATTGGCAGGAAAGGTTGTGGTTGGTGGGGTGGCAATTCTCCCCTAAGGCTTCCAGAAGGAGCATACCCCTGTCAAAAGTTGGTCCATTTCATGCATTCGCTTCTAGTAGGTAATTTGCTGCTGTGTTTTAAATTCCCTTTTTCACAGCCATTTGCTATAGCAGTACTATGAAACTAGTGAGAAACGAGGTCTCTTAACATTTACATACAGGGAGTTTTCCCCTCTATTTCCATCTCTGAAATGCAGACCAATTCCTCCATATACAGGCCCTTCTCAAGTGTGTGTTCTGACTGGCAACATGGGTTTAAACTGTAGAAGACCATACAGATGCAGACTCCAGATATTCAGTCTTCCAACTGGCTCAAATTAGTTCTCTGCCTTGTGCCTTCAGTCGAGCAAAAATTTTCAAAGAGTATTGTTGTACATTTTCCCTTCCTTTTCTTTATATGTACCCATGACTGTGAATACAGGATGAAACCAATGTTTTATTGTTTTGAAACTGATTGTATCTCACTAAAGCAAAAAGATAAGATTTCAGAAAACAGAAATGTGTTTGCTTTTCAAAGTGAGATTCATTTTTATTGAAATGTAATTATGTATAATAACATTTACCCTTTTGAACTCTACAGTTTAGTTTTAGTATGTTCATAAGGTTGTTCAGTGAATACCACTAAGAATATTTCAATATACCAGAAAGATACCATATCATTAGCAACTACTCCTCAGCCCCATCTCTTACAAACCCTTAATCTACTGTCTACATCTGTGGACTTGTCTGGGTTGGCCACTTAAAACAAATGGAATCAGACAACATAGGCTTTTTATTTTTTATTTTAATTTGTTTTATTTTACTTTACACAATGTTTTTTTTTAAGTTTGTTGATGTTATAGAATGATCCACATTTCCTTTCCATGGCTGAATAATGTTCTGTCGTACAAATATATGTCACATTTTGTCCATTCATCAATTGATGTTCACCTGGATTGTTTACACTTTTAGGTATGATGAATAATGCTGCTCTAGACATCTCTATACATATTTCTGTGTGTACATATGTCTTGATTTTTAAAAAATGTACTTGGGAATGGAAGCTTTGGCTCATAATTTCTATGTTTAGTTTTCTGAGCAACTCTCAATTTATTTTCCATAGTGGTTGGACTATACTACGTATCAACCAGCAGTGTCCAACGGCTCCAGTTTCTCCATGGTCTAGTCAACACTTGCTGCTGTTTGCATCACAGAGGATATGAGCTAATATCTCATTATAGGTTTATTTATGTTTCCTTAATAGCTAATGATTTTGAGCTTATTTCCATATATCTACTAACAATTTGTCTTCTTTAGAGAATTGCCTATTCAGAATCTTTGCTCATTAAAAAATTAGATTACTTCTATCATTTTATTGTTGAATTGTAGGAATTCTTTCTATATTCTGGATACTAGATTCCTATCAGATATTGAATCAGGAATTTTTTTCCATTGTGTACATTGTGTTTTCATGTTAGATGGTTTCCTTTGAAGATTACAATTTTTAAAATTTTCATAAATTCTAACTTATCTATATTTTGAGGGTTTTTATTTTACATGTCATAGCTACAAGACCATTGCTGAAATCTAAGCTCATGAAGACTTATTCCTGTGAATTCACCTAAAAATTCTATAGTTTTTGTTTTGTGTCTTGGTTTTTGATCATTGTGGGTTGATTTGTTTATATGCTGAATTGTTTATATGTTTATAGGGGTCCAATGTCATTCTTTTAATATGGATACCTTTTGTCCCAGTACCATTTCTTGAAAAAGGTATGCTTTACTCATTAAATGTTCTTGGCTCTCTTGTCAAAGATCAGTGACCATAATGGGTGAGTTTATTTATGGACCAAGTCTACTCCATTTATCTTCATGGCTGTTTTTTAAGCCAATGTGATTCTGTCCGGATTACTGAAGATGTATAGTTTTGAAATCAGAAGTTTGTTGTTCTTTTTCAGGAGTGTTTAGACTATTCTGTGTCGTTAATGTTTTCACATAAATTGTAGGACCAGATTGTTAATTTTGAAATTTTTCTATTCTCCCATTAACTGCCTCCTTTATGTTAAATGTTTTCTAGTATGCTATTTCAGAGAATTACATTTAGCATCTTAATGAGAGCAATATAATTTTGGATTAGCATCAACTTAATTTTAGCATTGCACCTGAACGTTATTTCTGCAAAGTTCAAATCCTTCCTCACTCCTTCATGTTGCTAGAATAACATCTTTATGCTTTGTTTGCTCAGCACTGATTTTTAGCTATTACCTTGTGAAGCTAGCTTTAATCAGCCAAACATACACAAATAAAAGCCAATTGTATGCTGTAGTTTGTATGTGCTTATTAGTTATCTCTACTGGTGCTATTTATTTCTTCATGTAGGTTTAAGTTGCTTCTGGTCTCCTTTCATTTCAACCTAGAACAACCTTCAGTATTTCTTATAAGGCAAGTTTGTTGCTTTTGACATCATTGCTGTTTAGTGGTTTCTCTGAACTAAGTCTATAACGTCAATGGAAATGGAAGTCTCTGTTAGCTCAATGGTGAGCCCATGATTTTCCTATGGGAAAGGGGTGAAATTTTATCTTTCTCATGTGTGTGCTGTGCCAAGAAGCATATCCCAACATCTGCTGTTCTCACTAAGGTTTAGAATTGAGCTGTTTTTCTTTTTTTTCAGAATAAGTACTCCTGAGGCCACTGAGAGACTTTAATTTCTCTTCAAACTTCTACAAAAGCCACTTTAACCATTCTTTCTAGTTTTCTTGTTATTTACATGGAGTAAAGAATTTTCAACAGCCCATACTCTGCCATTTCCGACCAGTAATCCATATGAAAATCACTCCCTTTCTTTGTTTATTGGATGTAGGAATTCTTATATTTTATATGTCCATCTTGTTCTGTAAGATAAATGACAATCACTCATTCTCTCCCACACTGGAGCTTTATAATTTAGACCTCACAGATCATCATGTTAATTTTTTCCCTCATTTAGGATTCTGGCTCTTCAGGAAAACTTCCTTCTGCAATTTAAAATGGATGTAAGTTGTGTTCTATCTCAACAAGCATTTAAGTCATTCATTTTTCTTTATATATTTGAAAAGAAGAAAGGAAGATAGCTCTTTGTCTGATCTTTTTATTTTAAAGATGTATTTATTTTTATTGGAAAGTCAGATATACAGAGAGGAGAAGAGAAAGAAAGAGAAAGATCTCTGTCTGCTGGTTCATTCCCCAAGTGGCCACAATGGCCGGAGCTGAGCTGATCTGAAGCCAGAAGCCAGGAGCCTCTTCTGGTCTCCCATGCGGGTGCAGGGTCCCAAGGCCTTGGGCTGCCCTCCACTGCTTTCCCAGGCCACAAGCAGGGAGCTGGATGGGAAGCCGGGCTGCCAGGACACGAACCAGCATCCTTATGGAATCCCGGTGCAAGCAAGGCAAGGACTTTAGCCACTAGGCTGACGTGCCAGGATCTGTTTGTCTGATATTTTAACTTATTTAGAAAATGACAGATTCAAAACAGAAATCATGGGATTGTAAGCGTCATTGGCTGAAAGTTGTTCCACTAAAGTTTCACATTGCTGGGCTGATGTATTTTTCTCTACACAGGCCTGTTCTACTGAAGAAAGGAAGAGAGACTTTGAGAAAATCTTTGCCCACTATGATGTCGTAAGTATGTCTCTTCATGTTGTGCTGGCCACCATTAGCAAGGAACTCAGGCTTAGCCACATGTGACAGTGTATCCAGAGACCATGACCTCCTGTGATGTGTAGCAATCCTACCTGAGTGTTGCTAGTTCAGAACGTTCTTAGATTTTTAATGTAATTTATAAGAGGTAAGTAAAAAGTGATCAAAAGAAGTATTTATGGTTGAGAAGAGAATAAAATCGTATTATTTTTGTCCTTGAATCAATACTAAGGCAAAGTTCCTCCCACTTTCAGCACTTAAAGTTCATTTGTAAAATTACAAAAATCTTTAAATACAACTCCCCCAAATAGGGGTAAGGTCATAGCTATTTATCATAAACCTGCATTTTTTGTGGGACCAATTATGCAGCCCAAGGAAGAAAAGAATGCTTCTAAAGCATAGTGCAATAAACGGATTGAATTCCTTGAGCACAAGATAGGATAAAATAAGAAAAAAATAAGCAGGAAACTGCAAAAATTTTCAAGAGTTCTCCCTTTAAAATTTTGTAGTTTTCTTTATAATGATTATTCATAGCTTATTCCAAAATATTTAAGTTTTTTGCCAATATTGTAAACAAGACTGATCTAATATACTATTTCTCAGCCATGAAATTATTTGTGTAGACAAAGGCCATTGATATTTGTGTGTTGATTTGGTATCCTGCAACCTTGCCAAATTCTCTTATGAGTTCTAGTAGTCCTTTAATTAAGTATTTTGGTTTCCCCGTAGAGTATCATGTCATTTGCAAAAAGGAAGAGTTTTGATTTCCTCCTTTTCAGTTTGTATCCTTTGATTTCTTTTTCTTCTATAACAGCTCTGGCTAGAGCTTCCAGGACTAATGACCTAGCAGTGGTGAGAGCGGATACCCATGTCTGCTCCAGATCATAGTGGAACATTCAAGATGGTGCTCGCATTGGGAATTTCATGTATTATCTTGACTGTGTAAAGCAATGATCATTTTATGCTCAATTTGCTTAAGATTTGTAGCATGAAGGGATGTTGAATATTTATCAAATACTTTCATTTATTGAAATGCATGTGTTGAAACATCCCTATACTAGGGATAAATTCCACCTTCTCTGAGTAATTGATCTTTCTGATGTGCTCTTAGATTTGATTACCTAGTATTTTGTTGAAGATTTTTGTATCTATATTCATCAGCTGTATGGCTCTATAGTTCTCTTTCTTTGTTGTATCTTTTTCTGGTTTTGGAATTGAGGCAATGATGGCTTCATTTATCTTAAATAGATTTTGGAGGATTGGAATTAGTTCTTCTTGGAAGGTTTGGTAGAATTTGTCAGTGAAGCTGTCTGAGCCTGAACTTTTGTAAGGGGAGTATTACTGATTCAGTTTCTTTCCCATTATGGATATATTTAGGTTTTCAGTCCTCACTATTCAGTATTGGTAGATTGTATATGCCAGAAATCTACCCATATCTTCTAGACTTTCCAACTATTGGCATATAGTTGTTTACAGTTACTGCAGTAATTCATGGTGATTATTTGTATATTTGTGATATCATTGTTCTATTTCCCTTTTCATCTCTGATTTTACTGGGACAATGGGATATCAATGTTGTTATTTTTTTCAACAAAAAACTCAATTTATTGATCTTACATATTTTTTGTTTCCATTTTGTTTATTTTAATTATTTATTTCTGCTTTTTTGCGGTTTGGTTTGCCATTTTTCTAGATCCTTCAGATGCACTGATATCTCATTTCTTTGTTGCCTTTCTAATTTCTTGATGTAAGCAATGATTGCAGTGAACCTTAGTCTTAGCACTGCTTTGCTGTGTCCCATATGTTTTTTGATACATTGTTATTATCTCCATCTGTTTTCAGGAATTTATTTCCTTTTTGATTTCTCCTATGACCCACTGTTCATTTAGAAGCATATTGTTCAGTCTCCAGGTGTTGTCATATTTTCTGTAATTTCTTGAGTTGTTGGGTTCCAGCAACATTCCCTGGTGGTTAGAAAACATACATCCTATGATTTTAATTATTTTGAATTTGCTCAGGGTTGATTTATAGCCGTTGATGTTCTCTATCATGGAAAGGATTCCATGCACTGGTGAAAAGAATGTTTATTCTGCATCTGTGGTATGAAATAGTCTGTACATGTCAATTAAGTCCATTTGATCCATGGTATAGGTTAGCTGTGTTGTTTCTTTGTGAAGTTTATGCCTAGCGTATCTGTCCATTGGTAATAGTAGAGTATTGAGATCCCCCATTATTACTGTACTCTTCAGACACATTAACAGTTGTTTTATTTATTTTTATTTTTTTTAACAGTTGTTTTAAATGTCTAGGTTACCTAGCATTGGGTGCATCTACGTTGACTCTAGTCATTTACTGTTAAATCAATCCATTGATCATTATGTAACGGCCTTCTTTGTCTCGCTTTTAATTTTTTTGTGTGTGACTTAAGGTCTAGTTTGTCTGATATTAAAATGGCTACACCTACTCACTTTTCCTTTGCAGTGTCATGGAGTATCTTTTTATATTCTTTCACTTTCAATCTGTGTCTATCTTTGTTGGTAAGATGTGTTTCTTGTAGATAGCAGATAGATGGGTATTGTTTTTGTTTTTAATCCTGTCTGATTTGAGAGTTTAGTCCATTTGTTTTCAGAGTAATTATTGAAAGGTAGTGACATGGTGTTATCATTTTAATATAGTTTTTTTGTTGTTTGCTTTAGATTTGCTTTGTGGATTTACTGGGTGTTCTTTACCTTTGTATTATTTAATTATGGTGGTTGTTCCTCTCATTTTTTGTGTTCTTTCTTTAACCTTCTTTCTTTAATCTTCTAATTCAAAGATTCTTTTGCCTAATCCTCTCTGTTAAGGCTTTCCACTATATTCTTCATTTGGCTTATTGAATCCTTGATTTGCAACATTTCAGTTTAATTTTTCTTCAGCATTCCAATTTCATTTCATAAATTTGTAGGTTTTCCCCTTAAATATAATTTATCTTTGAACTGTGTCCCATGGTTTAAAGGTCTATCTGATTCTTCATGGAAATGCAGGGTGTGTGCTGGGAGTGGGCCGTATACTCTAGTTGATGTTCAAGTGTCAGGTGAGAGTCCAGGGTGACACCCTGGCTGGGTGTCTTCACTTCTCTTGTCTTCACTGGCAAGATAGTGATCACGACTAGCATTGTGAACACAATCTCTTCCCGGTTCTTCCTTTTTTTATTATTAATTAAATTTTTGTTAGCTTTATTTATTTATATGGTGAATAAAAATCATGTATTGCACAATTAGAAGCACATTCACATACTCCACATTTAGAAGCTTTTAACTCTAACCCTTCTAAACTTATAACTCTACCCCCTTCTTCCGTATATCTCCGTTTTCTCCCAATTTTACAATGGCATATTCTCATTTCTCATTTCACTATCATAAGCTTAATACTCCAAAGGTAAAAATATCAACATACAGCAAGTAGAAGAAAATAAATGGATACAATGGAAACAATTATGCTTAGTGAAATAAGTCACTCCCACAAAAAATGTCATGTTTTCCCTGATTTGTGACAACTAATATGCAGAGCACAAAAAAATGTAATTATTATGAACAAGATTAACATCCTGGGATTTTAATGATTATATTTATCAGATGTATTTACATTGTTAGAGAGATAAAGGGGAAGAGGATCCTCTTCCCTCTGTTGGCTCATTTCCTAAATTCCTGCAGTAGCCAGCACTGGGCTAAAGCCAAGACTTGGGAACTCGGCATAGGTCTCCCATGTGGGTGGCAAGCACTTGTGCTATCATCTGGTGCCTCTCAGAATACACATCATCAGGACGCTGGAATTAAAAGCTAGAGTCTAGAATCCATCCCAGGCACTTTGACAAGAGAGCATGGATTTTGTGTTTCTTAATCATTGGGACAGATGCCCGCCCTTAGGTTTCTTTAACTGAATCACATTTTCTTTTTTTTTTTGATACAGTTTATTTGGTGTTGGGGGGTCTCTCCCCTCCCCCAACTTCCTTCCCCTCCCCTCCAGTCTCACAATGGGTGTCTTTTGTGAATTTTCCTAAGTCCATTTTGCCCAGTTCTTTAATGATGATTGATAACCCAGATTATACCTCAGTAACTGTAATCTCCACTCAGGCAGCACAAGTGCCACATAGGAGACCTGTGTAGATCTGTGTGTGCTCGGAACCTAGCTAACCACTATACCCTGTTATATAGACACAGGGTCCAATGGATTTTGCACACATGACCCTAATTTGACCAGGGGCTGTGCTGCTCTGGCCATGCAGAGAAGACTTGCTCCTGTGTCTACTTTTTATGACTTCTCCACTTTAGCTCTTTCTCCTCTGGCCTAGGAAGGAGTTTCTCTGTGACCAGGGAGTGTTCTGCTTGCGCCTTGTTGGCTTCCGGTACAGTCTCTTAAGTCATTGTGGACCAAAGACCTATTTCCTGACACAACCAGTGAAATGTATTTGTAGTGTAGGGTTAGGTGGTTGCCTTGTGGGAGGGCGAGGTTGTACAAAAGCCACACTAAGGATACTCCCAAGACTCAGCTGTCTCAGGGAGCTTTCCGGTCCCCATGTAGAGCCTCAACCACTGGAATTGAGCTTCCACCAAAATGATGCCCATTGCCCGTGAGTCCAGCCATTCCACGGGGGCAAGGGGCGAGTGCTTCACCTGCAATTCCATCCATGAGGACTTCTGTTTTTTTTTTTTCCTCAGAATCAGCCAATTCTGCAATTCTGTAATTTTGCTATTGGAAAACATCCCTCCTCCACCACTAGGGTGGCTGCCTCTCCCGTCCTTCTGCTGGAGAAGTCTGGTGGTCAGTTACCTGCTAGGACTCAGACCTATTGCACAATGCTTCCCCCACACCCGCTCCTCCTCTGTGACTTCTTTGCCACCAAGTTCTCTGCATTTGTTGCCTGGGTTTCAGCTCTGTCTGCCCCCAACTCAGTAACACATTCCAGCCAAAATTGGCATGTCTCTACCAATTCTGCCATCTTGAAATCTCTAAAAGTTTATGTTTCAATAATTACAAGGTCATCCAATAAATCATAATACAAAAAATCTCATACTGTATCTTTCTGTCTTTCAGAAGATCAATTTGATGTGCAACTAATACTTATATAAACAGAAAAATGTTATTTGGGTAGCAAATAAAGCAGGTGTCTGTCACATTAGCAGTATTTGCAAGTGCTAAGGAACTCAAAACCATTGCTTTCAATTTAATTCATTTGCAATGAATTGTTTAACTCATGTTAAAGATTCACATCCTGTATAAATAACATACATTGAAACATGCTGTTTCTAAATCTGTGATTTTAAGAGGATACTGATTTGGTCCATTTGCCTAATTTTTTGAGTTACGAAAATGTATTTGACTGGTTGGATCTTTTTATTCTTCAGAGTAAGACTGGAGCCCTGGAAGGCCCAGAAGTGGATGGGTTTGTCAAAGACATGATGGAGCTTGTTCAGGTAATTTCATGAAGCTGGGAGTTACTAGCCACATAGCCTGGGGTAGCAATTTGATAGATTCTTTTGTTTATTTGTGGGAATCAGTGAGGCTGCTGGTTAATGCTAGAGAGAAAGTCAAGGGATGTGATCTATTTACTAACCTTTCAGTTTCTGTGAAACCTGATAAATCTCCCTTGCTTTCTTACGATTGAGTTTCAATGACATGAAGCTACTATCAGAAGAAGCGTCTTTTGTGCCATCAGTTAGAGGGCACTTATTTGACCCTATAGTCTGCAAAATCACAGTGTGGATAGCCGGTCAGAATGAGTGTTAGTTGCATATATCTTCTTCCTCTTTTACCAAAACTAAAGTTTTCTAAAAAAATATATGTATGTATTTATTTATTATTGGAAAGGCAGATTTACAGATCTGGTTTACTCCCCAAATGGCTGCAATGGCCAAAGTTGAGCCGTTTTGAAGCCAAAAGCATCTTCCATATCTTCTGCACAAGTGCAGGGTTCCAAGGCTCTGGACCATTCTTTGCTGCTTTCCAAGGCCAGAGGCAGGGAGTTTGATGGGAAATGGAGCATCTAGCTGGGACACAAACTGGCACCCATATACAATTCCAGTACATCTGAGACATCATGCTGGGACCTACAATTAAAGTTTATCTCAGGCCTTTCGAAATAAGCTTGTCCTGGGCCTGAGGAGTCATTATTGCTAAAGAACCTTTCTGGCATCTCGTCACACTGTGCTGGGTTGTAGAAGCAGCTGGGAGGCCTGGCTGGAGCTTTGCTGGAACTGGAATTTGCCATAAGTGTAGATTTTGGACCAATGCTTACAGAGGGTGGCTGTGGTGGCAGTGCCTGGGCCTCCTCTTATGTTGCCCCATTTTATTCTCTTTTCCTTTTCTATTGAAAGAACAGGTTGGAAACTTTTGGAAAGGAGATAGGATAAAATGATGTATCTTGGAACCTGACAAATATAACATTTGTTGGTAGATGTTGGTTGTGTGTCTGTGGACAAGTTATGCACACCTGTCTGATACCTGACACCCTCCCTATGGAGTGGGTACCAAGACTGTGATGTTGAGGGATAACACAGACATAACCAGATCTCTCAGAAGCACATAATTTAATGTGTTTGAAAAAAGTATACAGTCATTAAATCATATCAATCAAAGTTACAGTTGTATCCATCACCTAGAAAGGTTTCCCAAAATCCTCTCTTATTTGTTGTTTTCTTAAAGATTTTATTCTTATTGGAAAGGCAAATTTACAGAGAGAAGCAGAATCAGAAAGATCTTCTGTCATTGAGCCATCATGCCAGGCCCCTTTCTTTGTTTTGTTTTGTTTATTTTTTTATGATGAGTACACTGGACATGACACTTTCTTGTCATCATTTTAAGCATACAATCCAGTGAACAATTATATACACATAATTTCTACACAAGAATTTTCAAGAGCCCGTGATTCACTCAGCACAGCAAGAAACCAATGTTAAGAATGTGAACGTAAACTAGAAAGTAGGAAATAAAGAAATTCATCATCTTCTAATGAGGTAGAAATGTGAATAGTCATGTTAGATGTCAATTATATGGACAGCTAGAGATGACCTGGATGTTTCTTTCAGGGGATGAATGGTCCCACCCTAGGATTCAAGAAAGTTCTTTCTTTCTCCTGGCAAATCCCTGTGTGTTTTCCTCTGTTGTTGGAGGGAAGGTTGTTGGCAAGTGGGAGCAATACCTGATCTAAAAGATAACACATGATCCTCCAAGGGGCAAGCTCTATGAATGTTTCTGTTTTCAGTTTCTAATTTGCAAAAATTATATATCATAGAAAAATCTGGAAATAGAAAAAAGATATCTCAAAAATATGATCTCTATATGCTAATAAATATGCTGAGGATGACTTCTCTGCTAAGTATTTTTTGTAAATGTTTGAAATTATATTAAAATTATTTCTTAGTAATAGTCATTTGATGACTATAAAATATTTTACCTGCTGTTAGATCATAATTTCTCTAAACATTTCTTGATTGCCATGTGTTCAGATTGTTTTATGTGTGTGAGATTGAAATTGTTCTGTAATAAAAATCATTGTGCATAAATCTTTCTCGAATACATTTGGATCCCTCTTCAGCTTTTTCGCTGTGAAAAATCCAAGTCAGAAGCCTTGGAAGGTGACTCTGTTCCCAGTTTGGGCAGCATCGGAAGGTATTCCCAGGTGGGACTGCCAGTAGCTGCCCTAACTGACATTCTGTTTTTGTCATCCTCAGCCGAGCATCAGCGGGCCGGACCTTGATAAGTTCCGGGAGATTCTCCTGCGCCACTGTGATGTGAACAAGGATGGAAAAATCCAGAAATCTGAGTTGGCTTTGTGTCTTGGGCTGAAAATCAACTCCTAACAGTTTTGCCTTTTGTCGCTGAACTGTTTCTGTGTTTCCATTGTATCTGTGTTTGCTGCTGGTGGCACAATATTCAAACTTCCTCACAGCCTTGTTTTTCTTGGGCAAGGGTTGGCCTCCAGGCCTTTCTTCCTACTGACCTGATATAGTCCTGCCTCTGTGAAAGTCCTCTCTCCTGACCCACATCCCATCCAAGTATCTGTAGTGTTTCTCCTTGGCTCCGAGTTTTGCTGTCCCCCTAAAGACTTGACCCTTGTCCCTCCCAGCATGTTGGGGATGATTTCATCTGCCTAGCCTATGTGCCTCTGTGGGCTTTTACTGGGTCTGAGTAGTAAAGGGGCATCTATAGCAGCTCTGTAGCTTTTTCCAGTAGATGTGTGGGTGCAAATAAAATGTGCAATTGAAAACTCAGATGTGCTGGTCATTGTTTGTATTGTGACCTTTGTAGTGTTTTCCCCTGAAATGTTGACAGATAATGTATCTGCCTGGGGCTGGGATGGAGAAGGATTATGAAGGCTAATGGAACCTACAGCTCTGGTGCCCAGGAATTCTCAGCCGCCTTCACTAGGAATAACTCCAGTGTGAAAGTAGGAGTTACCAACAAGCTGTTTTCCTTTGAGCACTTACCTGTGACACAGGACAGACTCCTCCTACCTAGGCAAGTATCCATCTCCTGACCTAATCATGTATCCAGCTGCAGCTACAGAGAACTTAGAATCCTAACAGCAAAAGAACCCCTACTGTCTTATTAGGGTCTTCCCCAACTTGTACGCATGCCCAGCATGGCCCAGTGTGATTCGTGACCTTCCTGGGGTGGTAATATTGAACAACACTTGCCACTCTGAGTGTATCACAAGCAGAAAAAAAAAAAATCCAGTAGTGCCCAAACATAATACCAAGCTAGGTGCAAATTGATATGTCATGTGCTGAGAGGAAGACACTGCATCTTCCTGATTCCAGAAACATGCCTGGAATTCTTTCTTCTGTGATGTCTTCCTTTTACTCCAGCATAAGCTCCCAAGAATACCATGTCCAGGCTGGTAATTGCCACCTTGTCAGCTTCTATTTGCACTGCACTGAAGAACCCAGGCTGGTGAGACCAGTCCTTAGTTTTCCATGATGTATCTCCTCAGACAAGAGCATACAGAAATTTCAAATATCATGAATTGTACAGATAATTCAGAATTACCGCAATGGTGTTTTTGGGGCTGTTCATAACCCAAGATTCCAACCTTTCACAGGGGATTTCCTTCATTCCACTCCTCGATCCTAACATGACTCTCTGTCCCAGGGATCTTCTCTTACCTCTGTTAAATTTAAGGGCCAGGTCTGAAGAAGGCTGGGAGACAACTGGCCAAGATAGAAAAGTCTTCTATCGTACAAAGGATGGCCTACTAAAGTAAGATTGTAGCTTGCCTAGCAGGTGGGGAGATCTGAAATAAAGCTTTAGTCTCCCTGCATGTAAGCAGCTGTCATTTTATGCTTTTTGCCTGGGAGAGGGCCATGTGTTCTCACAGAGAGCTTTATCCACTCTGGTAAAGTGGACCTTGGTGAGCAAAAAGACCCCATGGCAGGTGCTTACTGGAAGTCAACAGTGTACTCTGTGTAGTTTTATCTACCCTTGTCCCAGCAAGGTGAGAATCAGGCCAGCAGAATCCCAGGCATTGATGTTATCTTCAGGATCATTTTGCCCAGTTTGAGCCCAATTTTTACCAGGTGCAGAGTTAGCCATTTACGTCGCAATGACCTGGCAAGCCCTACCATCTCCAACATACAGATGATTAATACTATTAGAGCTATTATTTGAAGTACCTTCTGAGTGACAGATACTTACAGGTGCTTTCTAAATCCATAGGCAGTTTATTTCTCACCAAGTCCTCAGGAGAGAGATACTATTGTGCCATTCATTTAAGAGATGAAAAAGCAGAGGCAGACAGAAGCCAAACATGGCCATTGTCACATATCTCAGATGTAGGGAGTCTGTGTGTCTGGTTCCAGAGCCTGTGATCCACGTTAATTACAGTCCATTTTTGTGTTCTTTTCAGGAAAGCTCAGCCTCCTCCCCATGGATCTTCTCTCCCTGTAGTCTCCATGGCAGCCGCAGCAGATGTTTCACTAAATCTGAGTTCTTCAGGTGGTGGCTATGCATCATCTGAGTTTCAAAAACAGGCAGCAGCAGGGGCTGATGAGCAGCCCAGGGTCCCCTCTTGTTTCCCATGGTTAGCTGCCCTTGGACACACCATTCGAGGAACACATACTCTCTCAGTCTTGAAACACTCTAAAGTCTCAAGAAGAGAAAAGAAGTTCTCTATTTCCAGGACATGATAATTAATTCCTCTTCTTATTTTCTGGATTGCTGTCATTACTCTATCTCTAGTAACAAATTATTTCATAGTAGTTGGATTCATTTAAATTTTATAGAGACATATTTTATGTATAATTTAAGAAACACTTCTCTATATGTCATGAATGGGTTTTCTTCAAGGATTAAATTTTTCAGTCCAATTCATATGTATTTGCAATGTTAATACTGGCCATGGTAATTATTTCCAGTGTATAATTCAGTGACATATATTCCACTCACAATCTTGTGCAGCCATTACCACTATATATGTCAATCAAATCTCCTCATTCTCCTTTAACTTTGCCACTGGAAAGTTCCATCTACTTTCTGTCTCTAGGAATTTGTCTATTCTAGATATTTCACAATTGAATTTTGCAGTGCTTGTCCTTTTTTGTCTTTTTCCCCTTAATATACTATTTTCATGGTGTATCTATGTTGTATCAAATAGTAGAACTTTGCTCCTTTTTAGGGCTAAAGCACATTTATCCATTCATCTTCTGGAGTTTTGGTTTGTTTATTCCCCCTTTAAAAATATTTATTTGACTTGGAAGTCAGAGGGGGAGAGAGAAGGAGAGAGGGAGAGAAATATTCATTTGCTGCTTCACTCTTCAAATGCTACAGTAGTCAGAGATGGTCCACTCTGAAGCTGGGAGCCAGGAGCTTCTTCTGGTCTCCCACATAAGTAGAAGGGCCCAAGGCCTTGGGCCACCTTCTCCTGCTCTCCTAGGCCATTATCAGGGAGTTGCATATGAAATGGAGCAGCCGGGATTTGAACCAATTTGGGATGCTAGCACTGCAGCCTGAGGATTAACCTGCCACTGTTTCCACCTTTTAATTAATTGAGGATAATGCTGTAATGAACACTGCCATACAAATATCTGAATTTCTGTTATCATTCCTCTTACATATTTAACTAGAAATGAAACTGCTAGTTCATGTAGGTTACCTTTTTGAGAAACTCCCAAATTTTTTCCCATATGGCTGTAACATCTTGTATTCCTACACATCTATTCTTAAACTCCCTGTACTGCCAAAAATAAAACTGAAGGCTGGCCATATCCACTTAAGTCATGATTTCTTTGACCTGCAAGAATTGAATCTTTGAGGTTATTGCTCCAGCAATGAATTCCTTGCCAAGGATACTTATCTTTCTCAATATCTGAGACTTTAGTTGGTCAGTTTGCTTATTTGTTTGTTTGTCTTATGATTTATTTTCTTTGAAAGGCATAGTGGTGGAGAGAAATAGAAATACATAAAGAGGTCTTCTGATTTATCCCTCAAATGAAGCTGGGAGCCTGGCACTCCACCTTGGTCTCAAATATGGATGTCAGAGTCCCAAGTTTTTGAACTATCTTCTGCTGCTCTTCCAGACACTTTACCAGGGAGCTGGATAAGAACTAGGGTATCAGGAACTCCAATCAGTGCTTCAGTTGGGACCTCAGCATCACCAGCGGTGGCTTAATTTGCTATGCCACAATACTTAGTAAATAGGTTTTTACGAGCAAAGCTGGATACCTTATGGATAATGCAGCATTTCAAAGGAAAGAAAGGAAACAACTGTCAACGTGAAATATGTTGCATTGCTAAGTTAAAATCCAAAATTGAGATGAAATAATTTCAACTGGATGGATACTAAGAGGACTTTACTGTTGCCCTCCCATGTGTTTTTATTGGAAGAACTATTTAAGCAAATGAAAAGCACAAATGTGGAATGCATAAACAAGAGTGAGAAATTGGTTTGTAGAAACTTAAAAACTTACAAGTGGCCAGTGGTTTGATCAAAGATTAGTTGTAAGAATGTTTGCTAGAGTATTAGTTGAAATAGCAGTCCAGAAACAACCAAGACACATAATAGTAAGCTAAGGTTAAGTTATGCTATAACCATACTGTGGAATATTTTCATATTACATGGCAATAAAAATAATATTTCCAAAGAAACATGAAATATTTTCCCAGGTGGTCTTCAAAACTCCTTTAACTTTAATATTTTATTATGTTAGTCAATCAATTAGAAAAATAATATTAATTAGAAATTTCTCATTCAAAATTTAACACTTGAATATTAAAAAAAAATGGACTCTTCAAAGAAATGTCACAATTTTTCATGTAACCCATAACCATCTCCTATATTCATCTTCATAGTCAAAAGTTCTTTCAGTAGTTATTATTCATGTTATCTTGATAGTAAAAAGTGGTGAGGCCAGTAATTATTTTTTCTTTCACGAAAGGTGATGGAGCAAATGGTATTATGCATCGTGAAAACAATATACACTGACATCTCAAGAGTATTGGGTGTACAGACAAGAAAATGCAAGAGGTGCATCAGGATATATTTCCAAGGCAGGTTCAGATTATTCAGGCCATTAGATTTAGAGACATCGCATGGATTTAAAAAAAAAAATCAAAAACAAAAACACAAAAAAATAGGTCTGTCCTGATTTTATTTCGTTTTGTTAAGTTATGATGAGAAACTCCCATGTCTGTGGAGACTAATACGGAGAGGTCAGGGAGCCGAGCGTGGGGGCTGGCCTCCCTGGAACCTCCACCTGTATTGGGTCGTAACTAAATTTGTTGTCTTCCTTTTCAAGTCGCATTGGTGCTGGCATCATTGGCTCTTCTGCTGTCCGGTGAGTGTGGACTGTTTTCTCAACTTCTCTCTGTGTGAAAATGAAACCAATGTTACAGCAGAGCTGAGAGAGTCACATTCTGGGGAAATCATTCCCAGAGATTATTGGCCTGCACTTCATGTCATTTCTTTGGTAACTGTGTTCAGACAAACTGCTAGAGCTTGACATGATAAACTCAATTTTCTGCACTCAATTCAGATTACAGTCGAGTGAACACTTTGCCGTGATGGTGTCCAGGTGGTTGGAATCACAGATTGACAGCCTTTGTTCTTTTGTGTTATTTGTGGCTTTTGAGGCAAATAGATTGCACTCACATGTACATTTCCTATTCAGAAAATACAATATAGTTAGTAAACACAACATATCACCAGCCTCCTTGGTAGTTGGTGTATAACAGGTATCACCTTGTACGAAAGGTAGGGGGAGGT